ACCCTGACCACAAACCCTAAGGCTGACCTCACAGGTACCTACCTGACCCTAAAACTAACCTAAACTCAGTTCACACCTTGGTCCTAAACCCAACCCTCACACCCAAAATCAGCCTCTGAAGTTATGGGGCCCAGGCTTTGGGCCCCACAAGGATCACCCGGACCCCACGAGGCTGTGTTTTCCTTAAAACTGGGCCTCACAATGTAGGAAAAACAAGGACGCACGCACGCACGCACGCACTCACACACACACACACACACATTACCTCCACCAAAGAGGTTATGTTTTCGGTCGCATATGTCTGTCTGTCTGTCTGACAAAATTACGCAACAACCTATGGACGGATTTTCATGACATTTTCACCACAGGTGGTTGGTATTGGCCAAAGGAAGACACCATTAAATGTTGGTGATGATCCGGATCTCAATGCGGATCCAGGAATTTTTTGAAGGATTCTGCACTGTTACAGGACAGGGGAAATTGGCCTTGGCGAAGGTTTGCGCTCTCCAAGTGCTTCTAGTTTTTATTAATATATTTTTTGTTTTGTTTTGGATGATGAACAGTGTTTTTCATCACAAAGTCTGTCATCATATGATTTTGATTCAGTATAATTCAGGAGTCTGCAAATCTATATGATACAATTAKGGGCAGTGGTGGGCAGCACTAATCTAAAAATTAGTTCCACTAGCCCTAAAACACTAACTCAAATATTTAGGTCCCCTAATTCTAAAGCACTAACTCAAAWATTTAGGTCCCCTAATTCTAAAGCACTAACTCAAATATTTAGGTCCCCTAATTCTAAAGCTCTAATGCACTGAAAGTTTTAGTAAAAGCTAATTCTAAAGCACTAAAATAATCCAACCAACCCATGAACATTCTTCAACAAACAAGTCCAATATTGTCATGTTGCTCTGTAAAGACTTATCATTGACATTCTACTATATTTGTGTTCATATGTTGTTACCTGGTGGATAAGTGACACACATATGGACAAAATATGACAGCTTTCACCCGCAGTTGTTAACGTTAATGTTGATCAATAACATTTATAGACCTCAGTTAGTGCTTCTAAATTTAGCCTATAAATTTAGCAAGTGCTAATCCACTAATAAATTTTTAATTAGCAAAAGCCCTAAAGCACTAATCAGGAAATTAGTTCCCTGTTAGTGCTTTAGGGGAACTGTGCCCACCACTGATTAGGGGTGCACAGATAAATCGGCTGGCTGATTTACATACTTTTGGCCGATCCTTAGATAAGATCAGTGAGAAGATCGGCTTTTCTACCTCCACAAAGGTCTGAAAATCAGCCATCCTCTTTTGCTCTGCTGTGAGCACTACCTAATATCCAGTTAAAATAAGTTTGTATTGGTTCAAGGGTGTTTTTCAAAGTATTTCAGTAAAATAACATTTGAACATTGAAGTTGTATTGTGACTTTACAACATCTGACAGTGTCAGCTATTTAAAAAATTGGTATCGGCCAAAATCTGAATCGGCATGTCAGACTTTTTAAAGATTGGAGATCGGCAAGAAAACTGGAATCGGTGCACCCCTAGATGCAATATCATTTACCAGGGTCAGATGTGTATATGATATCAGTCCACACTGGGCATATGATGATGATGATCTATGATTGTTTTTTGTTTTTTTTTTTGCCTGGATGTAATTGAATCATTTAATTGATATAGTGATGTGGATCAATGTATTGTTACACCCYTAGTCAGCTTTATGAAGTACTGTAATCACCTGGGATGGTTTACCAACAACCTTGAAGGAGTTCCAAAGAATGCCAAGAATTTGCACGGCTGTGGTCAGAGCAAGGGGTGTCTACAATGAGTGGTCTAGAATTGGGCATATTTAGGTTTGTTTGACGCTTTCCAGTTTTGCCACGTTTTTTTTTTTTTTACAGTATGTGTTCCTGCTTAGTCTGGATGACTTCCATGTTAATTTGTAGAGTAGCAAAAAGAGGAAAAGAATAGGAACACTGAATGAGAGGGTGTGTCCAAACCTTTGACTGGTAGTGTACATTGATGCCTCTTTAACCCTTGGTGTTTCTATGAGAGCTCACATAGCGGAAATGCAATTTCTCTAGTTTTGTATTTCACAGCATTTTTTGCTATTTATGGCTTTATTAATATTTTTGTTTCAACTATATACAGTATATATATATTTTTTAATGTCGGACCTGTTTGTGTTGCAGGAGTGACTCAGCTCCGGATCCACCAACGCACTCACACCTCTCGCTCATACCGCTGCGATCAGTGCAACAAGTCGTACAGCTCGTCAACGGGGCTGCAGTCCCACCAAGCTTCACACGGCAGCGACAGTCGCTTCCTGTGCCCACAGTGCGGCAAGCGCTTCAAGACTCGCGACGGCCTGGAGGGCCACCAGAGAACCCACACTGGAGAGCGGCCCTTCCGCTGCCCCCACTGTCCTAAAGACTTCACCGCGCTGGCGGGCCTCAACGTGCACGTACGGCAGCACACCGGGGAGAGGCCCTACGTTTGCACAGTGTGCGGGAAGGGCTGGCCGTCCGGAGGAGACCTGCAGAAACACATGAGGACTCACACCGGGGAGAGACCGTATATCTGCCAGGACTGCGGGAAGGCCTTCTCCATCTCCTGTCACCTGACTGAACACCGCCGCATCCACACAGGTGAGGCAGGAAGCCAGTTGCACAAAGTCTGTCATTATCTACAAACTGTACAGGGTTTATCAGAACCATTTTTCAGGAAGTGTTGTGGCAAAGAAATAATAAAAAAAGGTTAGTCACATTTGTTTGTAAATTTGTTTTCCTGACTGTCCTGCAGGAGAAAAGCCTTACTGCTGCCCAGAATGTGGAAAATGTTTACGGAGGAAGTTTGACCTGAAGAAGCACATTTTGTCCCACAGTAATGTTCGTCCCTTTGCCTGCGTCCTCTGTTCCAAAAGCTACACTCGTCAGACACACCTGAACCGACACCAGCTGACCCACAGAGCTGCTGACGGACAGGTGGAGACAACAGAGGAGACATGACCTTCTGTTAGACTCACCTGAACATACACCAGCTGACCCACAGAGCTGCTAACCGACAGGTCGTACAGGTGTAGAGAATCACCTTTTGTCATTTACAGCATTTATTTCTGAAAATTTATCTGATATTTTTCCAGAAAGAAAAAACGATTAAACCACAGGTGAGTTTATTTTGGACAAACTTTATTAGCATCATTTATTCATCTACCGGTAAAGCAGGAAGTAACTGGGATTTAATCGGAGTTTGTGTCGTCGTCTCCTGACTTGTCGATAACTTTCTGGATCCACCTGGACATCCTGAACAAGTGGGTGTAGAAGCCATACTTTGCATCGCGGTCACATCCTTCACCCCAGGACACAATACCAATCTGGTACCAGCGGTTCTCAGCTGGGTACTGAACAGAAAAACAGATCATCAGCTGGTAGCAACACGGAAACAAGCTGTTAGACAAACAGATGGAGCTGGAAGTGATGAACCTTACATCGGAAATCACAGAAAAAAAAACATCAGAATTTATTAACATCATACAGAAGGTTTTTTGACCGAAGTTGGAAAGATAATTTTTGTCTAAATGCCAGGATAAAAGATGTTTTAAATTGTCATGTGTTCTTTGCTCAATATTTTGTTTATTTCTTGTACTGAATATTTTTAYCCTTAATAAATGATACTTGAATTCAGCACTCACCCTGAAAGGGTCTGACTTGTTGCCACCAATGTGTCCCAGACTCTCGCACCACTTGTATAGGGACTGACTAATTTAATGACCATTTAATAATACTACCAAAATGTGCACCTATCGTATTGTAGTTACTCCGTTAGACAGTAAACGCTTAAAGACAGACTGGGTGACAGACACCAATTCCATACTCTTGGAGCTCCTTTGTAAAGCGCTGGTCCAGTGTTACATGACAAGAACAACCTACACTGTTCCCCTGAGTCTGACGTTCGATCATCAGCTGGAGTCTCTCTTCCTGAGGAGACTGGAACTGGAACACAACTTCCTATTCAGAAGTTGCTCATTAACAAGGCCCTCCCACATGCCTGGCTCCAGGTTGGAGCTATGGTATCCCAAGTCTGGGTGAGGGACATCAAACTCCTTGTTCTCTTCTGTCCATACGAGTACCATGAAACTCTCTGGTTGACCTGTCACCTGAAACATTCTGCCTTGGGAGTCTACTGGCAGCACAGCTAGGATCATTCAGGCATACAAATGTCTCCACCACAGTAAGGTGTCGATTCACAAAGGAGAAACACGTCCTTTTCCYTGAAATTTAGCCAATTGCTTAGTTTCAGAATTCAATGCATTTTTCATGTTCCATTGTGAATCCAATATGGGTTTATGAGATTTGCTAATTATTGCATTCTTTGGGTTTTTTTTTACATTCATCCCAACTTTTTCATGTCTGTTACACTAAACCTAATATAATTAAAACTTTAACCCTCTGAGACAAAAAACGGATCAGATAAAACAGACCATTACATGCAGCACCTGATAAACATGACTAATTAATTCCTAAAGCCTCCATGATTTTATACAAATAATAAAAGACAAGTACCACGATGTCAACTGGTTACATAAACAATGTTTAAGATTTTAATGAATGTGACTGCAGCTCAGAGTTCATAACCTTTATTTCACTCTAAAAGAAAACTGTGCTGAACATGTGAAAGTAAACTGTGGCTTTACAAATAAAGATTTTTTGTAGATTTCTGATAATTAATTTCTCATTAGAATTGCTTCCCCTTCTGGKCATTACACAGATTTTTGTTTAATATTCACTTTATGGCGTGCACAAAGTGTCAACAAAACCTCAGATTTATGGCATATGTTATCAGTAAAACCTACAGCTGTGGTTGTTGTCAATAGATACTAAATAAACACAAAGGCTCGCAGAAACTGATTACATCCTGGTTAGTTTATACTGATTTATCCTGGGTAATACCAGCCATTATTTGTTCACAATAATGTTACTTACTTTCATGACAAATGGTCCTCCACTGTCGCCCTCGCAGGCATCACCACGTTCGTTTTCATCTGGTTTAAAACCTGCAAATAAATAAATATGAATAAGTTATTAAAAAATAAAGCTAGAAAGAAATCTGAAATATCAACAGTATTAATGCAAAACATGAATATCCAAAACACTATCGATTAAGATTTAACCTCATTTTCTTCTTTTTCTAAACATTTTCATTGATGTATTGAGACAACAAAAGTGGTAAATTGAAATACGTTATTCAGATTTGCTAGACAGGAGCTACAAGTTTTTACTACAAATTTGGTCACAAGTTTGTCCAGTAAGCTATGGAAGAACTTCAAGACTTCTGGAATGAAATCTTTTGGACAAATGAGACCAAAAAGTTTGATATTTACCCATGAGGCAGATTAATATATCATACAAACACCTCATACCAACTGTTAATGTGGTACACACAAATGGTGTAAACACATTGATTTAATGTTAATAACAATAGCTTTGATTTCATTTATTAAGTATTCCTTTATTGTGTGAATGAACACCATATTATGGTTGCTTACTTCGCCCAAGTAGTCCTGTTTAAATAAAATTGTGTAGGGGCGGAACCTTTGTTATCTTACCACCCCGGCTGCTTAAGCGGGTGCAACTTCCTGTTCACGTTTATACACAGTCTGGAGAAAGATACGAGTGGTTCTGTGATTTTTACTCCTGCACGCTATATGTGTTTTTCAGACAATTCTCTTTGCTATTGAGGTCACCGTGCTGAATGGGACCCGTAACATTAAGCACCGCGGAGAAAGAGTAATAGTTTGGGTTAATAGAGTCTTGTTTCTTTGCAGGAAAAATCAATGAACAATAATCACAAATCATAATATTTTAAATTGATTTAGAACAAAATTTTAATAATAATGCATGTCTCAGAGCACTTTTCAAGACACTCAAARATATTCRTTCACACACTGATGATGGTGAACTACATTGTAGCCACAACACTATACTGGACCATCAGTAGGCAAGGTGGGTGAAATGCCTTGCTTATTAAGGACACAATAACTGAGACAGCTGGAATGGGGGATCAAACCAGCAACCCACCAGTTACAATTCAATTCAATTCTGAGATTAAGGTCAGAGTTCTGGCTTTTGTCCAACTCTGAGAAAAAAATCAGAACCTACTCAGGATTTTTTTTTTTTTTTGAGAACCTGCAAATAGATCAGTGGAGTTTCCTATCCTGTTTACCTGTCTCAAAAAAAAAAATCGTCCACAATTTATTTTTATAAAGTGTTTATAAATAACTGAACCCTCTTGAACCTAAAATATGTCCTTCAAGATTTTCAGGTCTTATAAAAATTTTTCAACTAGCACTTCAAGTTAGAAGCATAGCTAAACTAAGCTAATCAAACTTGAATATTATTGTTTGTTTATCCCCTGTTGATTGTTTTATGCAAATCCATAGCCAGAGATGTTACCTGCACAAAACATGTTGTCTGTTATTCTGACTGATGTAGACTTGCGACAGACGTCCTGATCCACAATTGGAAGGTGGATCTGTTGGAGAACTGTGGGTAAATTTCTGGCCGCGGGGTTCCAGGTCTCCTGCAGGTTCCCCCAGCCCGTCACTCKGCCTTTAAAACCTTCAGACATCAGACTGTTGGGAAAAATATGTGTTTTTAATTACATCTGCTTTGGAACACAGTAAGGTGAAAGAAGTTAGTGTTTAGCTTGGTGTGTTGTCTTACGTCCTGGCGACCTGCTTACTCGGCAGGCAGACAGGATGGATCTGGTCAGTGAAAGTGACGGGTCGTCTCAAGTGCAGCAGAGCGATGTCCCGGTTCAGATTTTCTTTCCAGTTGTATTTGGGATGGACGATGATATCGTCAATTGCAACAATCTTCTCAATTCCGCGCTCAAACCTGGATAAAAATAAAAATAATTTATTTATCTTGCTGAAGGAAAACGAACAAAACTCCAAGAGATTATCAGAATGAAAAGGGCCTGCATGTCGCCTCACTGGGCTCGGTTGTGTTTCCCCAGACGAACCAGGATGTCATTGGAGGTAAAGTTTTTATTCCAGGGCGGATAGAGGATGCAGTGAGCTGCAGTCAGGATCCACTGATCACTGAGCAGACTGGCTCCACACAGAAGCTCCTGTGGGCTACGTTTATACAGCATCACCTGCCTGCAAACAAGATAAACAAGGCTTTTATTTTGTAAAAAGAAAAAGTGGTTTGTTGACAGCTGGATTTCTGTTCTGTGTATTCTGAAGGGGGGTGGGGTTGATAGTTCTCAGAGTTTGGCTTTTTAAAGTCCAAACTGTTACTGGGAATGTTTACAACAAAATCACAGTGATGGTTTACAGTTACCATGGTGCTGAGGCCACCTCAGCATCTTTCCCTCCAACGATCCGTTTATCTCTGTAGGACTCCAACAGCTCATCCTCAGTCTTATCCTTTTTGTTTGTCTTTTCGAAAAGGGGACGCAGGCCACAATCTGCAACCAAACAGAAACCAGTGAAATTCACGTTAGTCACACACAGGACCAAGTCATTCTACCCTGTATTCTTAGTCACATTTATTCTAAACTGCTGACCAAGGTCAGAAACACTCTACTGAGAAACCTAGTCAGATTCACTTTAAGCAGTTCATTTAGTCACACATTCTAAAACTGGTTGGTTGGTCACAAATACCTTAATTTGGTAAGAAACACTAATCCAGTTACATATTCAACATATTTATTAGACTCAGACGGGTTATTATCCAGCTGAATGTCTCCAACCAGTTTATAACAATTCTGTCAATCAACCAGGATCTGACCCAGTTTGTATAATGACCTTTGACCCACCCCCACCCCCCAGGTTTGAACTAATAACAAGGTTAACGGCACTAACCAATTAGACAACTCACCACTTTCTCCTTGTCCAAATGTTCGAGAACTGAAGAACAGTTTCCTGCCAGAGCCTAAAACCGACCGCTCCCTTTCCTGAGTGTTCGTCAGCTCGTCTCCACCAATGAGTGGATCCTCTGAAACGCACAGTTAGACAGAAACAGGTGAGCTGCARGAAGGTGACAGGTGATGTGTTTACGAACAATAGGTTTTTACTGTACCACACAGCTCCAGGTCGCAGTAATCAATCGTTACATTTCCAGCAATGTTCACATAACACCAGGGACCCTCTGGGTCATTGTCTGGGTTCCGGCACTTGTTGCCCAGCAAAGTCACCTCAGGCATAAAGTCTTTGTCTTGGCTGAGGGCTTTGGCTTCTGGTGAAGACCACAGCAGACAGGTGTGCCGACCCATGGTAACACTCAGGTCACCAGTGTAGTCAACACCGTAATTAGAAACACACACTGAGGGTACGACCACCTTTGGAGCTACAGTTGTTGGAACGAATGCCTCACCTTGTAAAGAAGATGTGTCAAACTGTGTAAGGACCTAATGTGCAACTCAAATATTTGGTTCTGGTAAGAAATCAGTGGTAGAAACTGACCACATTTGGGAACATTGCAGGTTTCCTTCTGGACCGTTGGATCTGTGGTGAAGCACCACGGTCCTTCTGGGCGGTTGTTAGGGTTCCTACAGAAGTTCTCCAGCAGCTTACTGTTCGGTGCAGAGGCATTAAACTCCCTGTGCACACACAGGTAAACAAGTAAACAACCAAGTAAACAGTAAACATAAGAGTAGATACAGCAGGTAAAATACTGTAAGTATTGAACACGTCACCATTTTTCTCAGTAAATATATTACTAGAGGTGCTAATGACATGAAATTTTTACCAGATGTTGGTAACAACCCAAGTGATCCATAGATACAAAGAAATCAAACCATAAATGTCCAGAAATGAAGTTGTTTGTAATAATGTGGAATGGCACAGGGAAAAAGTATTGAACACATAAAGAAAGGGAGGTGTAAAAAGGCATGGAAAGCCAAGACACCAGCTGAACTCTCTCAGTAATTAAGCCTGCCCCTTGTCAGTACAAATTAATATCAGCTGGTTCAGTCCCAAATGATGGCCAGGTATCACACAAGAACCATCTGA